GACGTCGAGATTCCTACAGTGCACATTTGAGGAACAAGCCGAGGTTCCGACAATAATTTGGAGACTATGCAGGAATATCTGGAAATGAGAATCCCTCACGTCTCACGTGCAAACAAATGTGTTTCCTCCACATGTGAAGAGGACTGAAGAGAAAACGTAGACAGAGGCCGAAATACTGAGGTCATGGGAACCGAATAGAGCCTGGATCAAAGCACTTGTAGAGTCAGACTCGAGTGGAAGTTGATTTATGATGTCATTTCTTTGTGATTTGGGTAAAGTTACACGTCTACCCCGTTTATTTTTGTTGGCCCATGTTTCATCCATCCACCAATAAGTTTTGTGATAATCTGTTCAGCAATTTTTTTTTGCTTAATCCTGCTGACCATATGAAAACATAACCTATTAAGATAAATCCAATTGTTCTACTATCATTTGACTGATTGTTGTTGTATTGAACTGCAGACATGATGAAACTAAAACAGAAATCATATATAACTTTCAATTCATCTTTATTGGAAAGCAGTGAAATAATGTATATGACATTCAAATGTTAAATCCAAAGTATCAATAAATGTGTTAATCACAAAAAAATACCTGTTAGATTATGAGAAAATCCTTTTGAGAGTGGGGGAGGAATGTGATCATCTGCTCCCCGAGTCCTGGGTGTGTTTGGGTTTATGGGAATGAATATTGTATGGATGACAAATAATTATTTAGTACATAATTAGTCTGTTTAGTAAACTGCAACACAAGTTTATCAGGAGCAGCAGCAGGATGAAGAGTGATGAGCCTGTGCGGAGAAGGAGGAAGAAAATAAATACTTTCAAAATGTCATGATTGACAGCTGAGACTGACTCGTAATTGGTTGAGGTTTTCGTATCCGGGAAACTTTGGTATCATTTCTGGGTAGTGGGAGAAAGTAAAGTATGCAGTCTATTGGTCAGCAGTAGTTTAAAGTTGTAAACAGCAGAATAAAAAGAATAAAAGCGTCAGAATAAATGAAAAACTTTCATTTCATTTCATTTCATCCTACATATGGTTCTGAACTTCAAGAGTTAAAATCCATTTTTATCACATTTAATTACCTGGTTTGTGTCCGTTATTGGAAGATCCATTACCTGTTGGGCGATAATAACAAAACTGTTCATCACATTCAAACATTACAGCGCCTTAATTTGAAATAACATGACAATAGCACAGGTTGATATTTATTTATTTCTGCATATGCATAATAAAAAAGTGGGACGGATGGACGGACAAACTGAAAACATAAAGTGGGACTGTACCTTTAATGTGAAACTCAGCCGTAAGGATCCCACCATTTGGATCTGCCTCAGATGACAGACTTCTCACAGAGCAGGGGCCCTTCAGGAAATAAACACAGACATTAGTTCAACCTGTTCTTCCTACGACCACAGGCCAAAAGTCTGCTTTGCCTCAAAGAGGTTTTGCATTGATTTAGTGTTTAGTATCATAAAGTTTTTGTTTTGTAGTCACCGGCTGACAGACGAGCCTCTCTGCATCACAAACGTGGACCTCACAGTGAAGCCAGACGGTGGACACCTTCTCCAGCCGTTGGAAGCGGAAGGAGTTGAACTTGAACGTGGAGCGGCTGTCTTTAGCGTTCTCATAAATAGTCACAGTGTTGTCAGAGGAGCAGCTGTGGGGAAATTATTTCAACTATAACCACGAGGAAGTGGAATCTCAGTTGAATCTGAAATTGATTCATCTTTTTATGCTGAACAACCTGTTGATGATGAGACTCCACCTCTTCCTGTCTGTAGAGTACGGACTGGGAGTGGCCCAGCAGTTGTTTATGACAACTTTGAATCTGAGTCAGACGATACACATGGATCAGAAATTTGGGGACATCTAACCTCCAAAATAATAAGAATGAAAGTATGAAAACATTATCAGGGAAACGTTGAGATTATCTGAAATACCTGTTGCTGAGTCCTTTTGCCTCAATCCCGATGAAAACTTCAGAGCCGATCTCAGAAGTGTCGATCACATAGGGAGCATCCTTGGAGTACAGGAACTTTGAATTCTAGAAAAAAAAAAAAGTATCTCATCTAGGTGCGCTTGTCGTGACCAAAACGTACCCCTACACCAAGTACCTTCTGAATAGTCTAGATATATCATCACTACACAAAACATGTCGGCAAAGGCTTCCACTGGAGAAAGAGAATCTGAGCAGCTACTCACCGTGAACACGTTCATAGACAACTGTGATCTAAAAGTGCCTAAACTCCCGTTGTTGACATAAACTGTAGCCACTCTGGAAAAAGCAGAGGGTTTAGTAAAAACACTGCAAGTCATCGGGTTAGAATGCACATATCATCACATGGTGACTGCAGCCGCCTCGCGTCCCGGGCTGATTCTTACCTTTGGCTGAAGACTGCGTTATTTACCAGGTAGGCTGCTCGGTACATGCAGCTGAAGGTGTAGTTGACGGGCTGGTTTCTGACTGTGAGTGAAGTATCATTGGACACGATGGAGTTGTAGAAGATGTACTTTGGGTCTTTGCCGGGCATGTACTAAGGAGGACAATGGTTGTCGACGGATCATCATCAGTGGGAATATGAAACGTTTAAATTAAAAAATCGAAGTGTCACTTTTACTGAGCAACAGCGCCCCCTGCAGCCACTTATTGATTCTGCTGGGCTACGTGTTAGAGCGATAAAGTGGTTTTCATCTTGAGAAACAATAAAGGCTATCGATGTGTTGCGTTGCAAACACAATTGCCGCTTGTTCACCAAACGCTGGTTTTTAATGACTTCTATGTCTTTTTAACGGATCTACAGTTCAGTATTACTCTTGAACTTGTTTTGAAGGCCAGTTCAACCTTGTATGGAAAAAACAAGCAGCAACGTGTTTATCTCAAAACACAACGGCAGCAGATTGTAGATACAGGTTAATAGAGAAATCTCATCTTTTTGTTGTTTGGGTGAATTGACCCTTTGACACCTGTGTGCTGTCTCACCTCGGACTGTGTACCGCAATACGAGTGGTTTTTAGGTGTTAAGTCCGGGATGATAAAGCGGAAGTAGCCCGGGCTGTGTATTCCAGTGTAACAGATGCCACCCAGGGATAACTGCTCGATCTCCCAGCCGTAAGGGCATTCTGGGACATTGGCAATGATGGCGTTGGGGAAACAAGACACCATGACATAGTCTGAAACGAGACACAAACGTAAAGCTTTACTGTCCTTACTCTAAAAGGTTTTTGCGTGTTTTCTAACCAAACATATATTTGGTTGTTACCTGCTTTCTGAGGAGGGCAGGTCCATGCAACAGGCAGCAGCATTAACAGTGCACCAAGAGAGGCCATGGTCCGACGCTGCAGAGAGAACCTAAAGAATTAGGAAACATCTAAGGATAAGCTCTACGCTGTGTAATGATGTAAATCGGACTCACCTGTGTCAAAAGAAGACTTGGTTGTGTCTGATATCAGAGGATTGTAATGGCTCTTCGGCAGGTCAGCAGCACCACTAACATCGTGACAACTTGTCGAGGGATTTATACCGTCACAGGTAAGGGTCGTCGCCTCCCCCCCTTTCCCCACCTGGTTTAAGAGCTCTATTGTGGGGCTGTTCACAAAAGCTCTCTGTAGTCCTCAGACATTGACTTTCAAATGACCAGCGTCTCACAGGATCAGCACTCAGGGTGCTTTAATCACCTTTTCTAGATACGGGCATTGAGAAAATCATCTGTTTTGCACAATGGAGACCATACAGTTATGATTTGTGGGTGGGCAGTAGCTCATTAGCTACATCATCTAGATGAATACAAGACAGAAGTTTGCCGAGTAGTTAATCCACACAAAACTTTTCTACTTTGGATTATGTATGAATCAAACAAGCAAGATACAACTTGAACTCACCCTTGTTTCCCTGTTCCATTCGTTACCCTAAGCTAAGCTAACCAGCCTCTAACTGTAGTTTCATATTTGAACAGATATAAAATTGGTATTAATCTTCACATTTAACTCAACAAGCCAATTTCCCAAAGATGTCAAACTAAATATCGTATTTTCTAAGTCACATAAGCTGCTTTTCAACCAGTACTTGACATTTTCTGTTTTAAAGAGAATTTATCAAGACATTTTAATCGACTTTTAAAGTGAGCTCAGTTAGAATCTGCAAAGTTAGATAACGCACCAGTTAGGTTCTTTCCATTACTAACACGAAGTTCACAGCATCAAATACCTCCTGTCTCAGAGATAAGAAGCGTAAAACGATAGCGAGGAGGTTAGGCACTAATGTCCTTCACAGAACAATCCCAGTCACCCAGCAACTGAAGGGGCAAGCTTCAGTCGATTAGCATCCCAATGGAGCGACGGGGGAATTCGTAAGGGGCAGTCCGAGGAAGATACCAATCTAAGAAGGGGTCAGGGGACAGGTAGCGTTACAGCATCTGCTGGATGCAACAATCAGGACCCACTAAATTCCTCCATGTTATGTAACAACGGTCTGCGGTCTGAGAAACGTGTTCAGAGGGAGATGGAGTCTGACGGTCAGAAAGAAATAGTGCATCCAAAATCTTTCCTCTGAGGCCGAAAGGCTTATTTCATCTAAACATAAAAGCTGCATAATAAAACTGAAACTGATTAGTTTCAGTTCTTAGTGAAAAACCTCAGGGAAGAAAGCAGCCTTATTTTTTTTCGTCTGTGTGGTCGAATGCTTCCCTGTATTACGAATTTGAAAAACTCAAATAAACTGTACGTAGAGAAGTTCAGTGTTCAACATTTTGAAATAATAATTTTGATATTATCTTTCCTTTGTTGTAAAAGTTCATTGCATTTTTTTTTTCTTCAAAATATCTTTTCTCTCCTTATTTATTTATTTATTCTCATGAAATCAACAGCAACCTGTGTGGTTTATAGAAATACATTTTTATTCTCGAAATGCCGCATCTCTTACGTTTATTTGTTTAGAAAACAAATTGTAGAATCTCTGTTTTTGAAAAATATATCTTTTTTATTCTTTAGACTGACGGAGATAGACATTAACAGATAAACACAAAGATCACTAGATGCATCAGGAGGTCACTATGGATTTGTTGAGCCCTGCTACAGTAGTGCTTTTGTCAGAATTTGCAATATGAAATAATACAGAAAAAAAACAGTCTTGCTCTCAAAAACATATTTGAAAACATATACATTTCTTTATGTACAATAATATACAACATATGTTCATAATAAATAACTTGAGTGATGAGGCTGGTGTCAGAGTTTGGGCACTTGACAGGTCCAACTTGTTCTTTCTGGCTGGTAAATAAAATCTCTCCTGAAAGACAAGCAGGCCCGAGGTTAAGTTTGTGTGATACAGAAAGTTTTAAAAACGTGTTCAAGCACATTTAAAAACAAAAGAGTTCATAAAGATCCAACACAGGTATCACAAGTTGCACTGTGAGGGTTTGTGTTAAAGCTCATTTAACAGTTCCACATATCAATAAATGTTGAATATTATATTAAAACTTAAGTCTTTAAAGTAATTTTTCTACATATGAGACATGTTTGAAATGTTTGAAATATGTTTCAGGGCCTGTTTTACGTTTAGAAAGTTTCAGTGTGGTTGAAGAAGCTGTTGTACTCACTCTCTCCTGTGTGGTGCACTGTTGTCACGACACAGCAGCCCCTCATCACAGGGACAGATCTGGTTGATGCTGAACGCCAGGCCTCCGTCCGGCACGAAGCAGCTCTCCCCACGGATCAGACGCCTCTTACACACCTGCTCACCGTGGTGTCGGGCGCAACACATGGACGCCCCACAATCCCTGTCGACTTTACATCTGGCTCCTGGACGCAGCAAAAACCCATCATTTTAGGTCAGGTCCCAAAACTGCTTTCAGATTTTAAGTTCTATAAAAAGTTTTTTTCGACAGTATTTCAAATCTGTGTATTGGTGCACTCTTACCTTCTTGTCCGTTGGGAACGCTGCGGTGACACTTCCCGAACATGCAGCTGAGGCCACGGACACACTGAGCGTCCCTCCGACAGTAGTGGCCCTCTCCTCGTAGAGGGACACACAGACCAAAGTGGCGATCACAGGAAAAACCCCGCCCACAAGTCCTGTCATGGTCGCACATAGCCTGAAGAAGAGAGAGAGACGTGGTAAATCTTTATGTAGACGTTTAATCATGGCCCAAAGTTTATTTAATGTATTTAATTAGTTATATTCCATCTTCTCTGGGGCTTAAATTTAGATTTGAAGGAGGTCAAAAGAAACTTCATAAAGTTTATATACATGCACAGTATCCAGTGTCTTACCATGGTTGGTTTGGAGACATGAGCGCCTTCTCTAAGTGCTCCTTCTTTGGGGGGGGTGTGAGGCATGTTGAGCATCCAGGCCCAAATCCGAGCCTCGGCCCAGGAGACGCACAGACACATAGCGAGCATCCACAGATTCCCCGACATGTCCAACAACCACAAAAAATGTGCGAAGCAAGACGAAGTGAAACCCAAAAAGTCAAGACAGAGTGATTTTAAAGAAAAAAGGAAAAACAAGTCACTTGTCTGTGACTCAACAGTGAAAGGAAATCCAAAACTTAAAACCTCGAGTCAATGTGTAGGGAGTGAAATGAGGGGATCCATGCAGCGGTTGTGCTGCCTCCTGCTCCAGCTCGACTTTTATTGGTCACCCACAGCCCCCCCACCAGGCTGTTTATCCAAGCACCAGGGCAGGAGGAGGAGACAATTAGTTGTTAATGGATTAACTAAATTGCCCAGGTTACCCCCCCGCAGCCAGAGGACAGTGGTGAAATGACCAGTCGTGGAGCAGGGAGAAAGGGAGCGAGGGGAGATGGGGCTGGGAGGGGATGGACGGACGTGATGGCCTGACAACAGCTTCCACACAATAGAGCCGAGACGAGCGCCACCTCCGTGTGGTTATCTACGCCAGACAAACAAATGAGGAGGACAAAAGCTGGCAAATGCATGACATGGTTCGCTGCTCTGTGACTGACAGGTAAAGCCACTGTGGGCCCAGGCCCCCAAACACTGAGCAAACACTCCTGGCCCCGACCTCCACTGCCCCGGCGGCCCCTACCCTATCCCACTCCAGACCCCACGCTGAGAACAATTTGCAGAAGTGCACCCAGTAGACGACCCCATGATCTCATTAAATGTGATTACCATCAGCCATTAGTGCTCAGGAGGAGGAGGGGGGGGGGAGACGAGTTGCTCCAGGGAAACAAGCAGATTTTGTTTTTTTCCAGAATCTCTCTACTCACCTGGAATAAATAATTATTCTGTCACGCTTTCAAATTCCTAATTCTGCCTCCAAAAGGGGTTTTTGGAGCGAAACAATAAGACAAAGAAAAACTTCAGAACTTGTGGAGGTAAAGTCAGAGTTGAACTTGTTCGGTTGAAGACGATGAGGACGTGTGCGCAGGATTTCCTTCATTGTGAGTAAAACCTTTTCCTGCCTTCATCTGTTACATTTCTCAGCTTTGTTATTTAAAAAACAACTCAGGGAAGCTGGTTAGTTCGAGTTTGAAGGTTTATCAGACATGATTTATGATTCTATGAGAGGAAATTCTGCAGGATTTTATTCTCGAAAGACATCGTGGGGACGTCATCGTCATCACCAGCTGCTTCGACCTATACTTGACTTTGAGTGGTTTCTAGAGAAGCACAGTACTCGACACACTGAGGTCCAAGGAACATTTCGTTGTTTTGGTTCAGACTAAACTGAAGTCTGAAGCTCTGGGAGGACGAGTGGTGAACGACCACTGGAGACATCTGCGGCAGCTGAACTGTTCCGTGTGAAATCAACTCCTGTCTCGACTCAGACTCTCGGAAAAAAAGCTTAAACGTTAGCATTCACTGTTTCATTTGCATTCAGACTGAGATGCCAGGTTAATTGTGGGTAATTTACATGTTCTCAGCGGCAGACAGCACAGATCGGTTACGGAGATATTGCAGGGTCTGCACCTATCTGAGCTCCAGGTAGTTAAGTCCTTATCAAAACAGGCTAACACAGACTAATGACGTAATTGGCGGTCAATTAGTAGCACAATAGCGGCAACCGGCTCAATTAGCAATATGTAAACACATGTTGTATCGTAATTATGCAACTGAGCATCTGTGCACATTCATTATTCTGATTCGTGTGTATTGAGGATTTCATGATAATGTTGGAAATAAGTTAAACTTTTAAAATAGAACATCCAATTGGTAATTTACTGCAGGCTTTATATTCAATACAATTTCTGATGCATTCGTGTCTCTCTAACTTTGTATCTCCAGATAATCTGCTAAAATCATCCGGAGGGGTCGTAAGGAAGAACCCAACGTTCTCCAGAGTTTTTGTTTCCTTCTCTAAAAACAGAGAATCACAGAACTCTGAGACGTCAAGTTTTATTAAGGAAGCACATTTAAAACAAGAGTTAACCAAAGTGGTGTGCAATAAAAAAAAACAAAAAACAGGAACTTAGGTTAACCAAAAATGTTTTGTATGAAATATTCAAACGCAAAAAACTAGTTTGAGTCGAGGAGATTTATGAGACTCATCAGTCATCACATATTCTGCCTTTGTTTTATTACTCACAAACAGAAACGCAGTTTTTACAACCTAAAAACTCAAACTCTGCCTCCCAACCTCGTCCCTTATCACGTCCCCCTAACACGTATACTTGTTCTACGTCCGTACTTACGGCAAGATACCCCCCCCCCCTTGTTTACTCAGTACCAGCAGTAGATAACGGTCTCCAAACAGTCCTTCACATGCTCTCCCAGTGTTAATGACTCTGCTAATGACGTCCGTAATGAATGTGCTCGCTGTCACAATCAACATTGCTGGGTGGGTCTAACAATTATGGACGAACAACAACAATGGGCAGGGTGATGTGTGGTCATTGTAATGGACCTTGACCCCCCACAGGGAGCTGTGAATGGCGGAGGGCACGAGGAGTCTGCGGTCCCAGCTCCAAAACATGTCCAGAGCAGGACTGGGTGGAAGAAGTGCAACACAGTGAGAGTGTATTCAGGGTGTGGGAGAGATATGTGAATATACGCTTTCACTGCTGTTTGTCTTTTTTTTGTTGAAATTCAGTTATTTTCTGAATTCTTTTAACAGGTTGAACATTTTGAGAACATGTCGGGAAACATTGCAAAGATGAAAATATACATGCTGCTGTCAGACATGCACAGAACTGCAGACGTTCTCCTGGAGTTTTTCCTGCCTCGTAAAATGTTCAATGAATGTCTGAGCCCATGTGAGAACCGAGCAAAGGTTGTCAGCCCCCCCCACGGCCTGGGGTCCCAAGCAGTTGCCTGTCCTGCCTGTTCCCAAGCTGCCTGCGCCTCACGCTGTAACGTCCTGAGTCATGAATTAATTCAAAGGTTCACAGATGTGATCTACTTGCGCAGTTAATGACATCAGACCGGTTCGTTAATCGTCAAGTCTTCGTAGATTAGTCATCGCTGCTTTGTTTTCTTTTTAAAATCTGGTACTTTTTAAGCCAGAAAACGCTGGAAACTAAAGTGGTGACATAAAACCAAATGTCTCGATTCTGATCAATTTAACGAGGCCAAATATTCACACGAAAACCTTTACGTATAATGGTTTGTGTGGTTTCCAGTGATGCCAATAAGCCTTTTGAGTCATCACCAACTTCACATCTGTCCTTTGTTGTTATTTAGTTTCAGTGGTAATTATGCTGAAAAAACACATCACCCATAAGGACACATGGTGCTAAAATTGTTTATAATAAAATGTACTAATTATTTTGGGTCAAAACAAGATAAAAGGAGGAAATGAATGCACTTATCTAATCGTTTAAAATAACCTCAAATAAAAGCCAGTGTTTCATTCTGGCGTCAGAGGTTTGAACTGTATTGCTGGTGAGGTTGACATAATGTTCTGTTTCCAATTGGAACAAGACAGAAGAGTGTGACTCGCTCTGTAATGAGAAACAGACCTGAGTTGTCTTTGTGCCAGCTCAGAAAAAATTAAACAAAAAAAAAAGGGAAAACAAGAAAAGGACAAGACGTAAATTTGGAGCAAGGGTCACCCGTGGTCAGGAGTCGAGAAACAGGCCATTTCCAAATTGTCAATATTTTTATGATTACAACAAACGTCTGCAACTTGTTTCTGAAACTGGATGTTTCCGACTTTTCACCATCCAGAAGAACTGGTAACGCAACCACCTCGTAAAATACAATTTAACAATCATTTTTCTATTTTCAAAATACCCAAACCTGTTTGTTTGTAAATGTGTAAATCTGAAGTTAATGATGTATAGACTGTAAATGAAGACGGTGTATAAAGTTATCTCACAGCATAAAAATGGGCAGAAAGGTCACGATTAACAGCTGAGACTCATTTGCGATCGGTGGAGCACATGCGTTCACAGAACCTCTGATCGGACTCTGGCTCCAAAAATCTAAACATTCAGAATATTTTGGCTTCGTTTCTGTATAATGGGGTTGAAGTGGGGTGTCATGCACCTTTATTTACAATCTGTGGTGCAGCCCAAACTTTACGCACAGAGAAGGTATGTGCTGACTGCACATGTGAGCACACATCTGTCCAGAAGAAGAAGCAGCAGAACCACTACAGGACCCAGACTCTGGTTTTACTACACTGACACAAACATCCTATCGGATCATGAAAACACAGAAATGTCAATGTAGTCTAACTTTTCCAAATTATCGGTACCTCCAAGGCTACGGAAAAGAAAATCCTCTTTTAATCAGGATCATTACAGCTTGTTTAAAAGATAGCTAGAGTCTCTGATTAGGTCCAAAAACATCCAGTCAGCTTTTGACTTCGGGCCAGAGCTGAGTTTGAACATCGACACTGAGTCAGGAGGAAATTCTGAGATTTGGCAAAGCTGAGTGAAGTCACAAAACTGGTTTATGTACTTTTAAGGAACCACTCCAACAACTGACAAACTAAGAGGAAAAAGATCTTTGAATGAGATTTATCGTCGTGCTGGATCCATAAAAACCAGCTGAGCCCCTCCACATTGAAGTCATGGTGTTATAGGACAACAAACATGATCTAATTTTAGGAGGAATCATTAGTCAGAGTTGTGCAGCGGTCTTTCCTCCGGAGGGTCGGCGTTTCATTTCAACACTTCCAATACATCACGACCAAAACAACGACAAAAAAGAAAAGAGAGAGAACACACACATTGCATTAATCTGTGTAAAGTTTCTCAAAACAAACCTCGGCTGAAACTCTCTCCAACATGACAACCATCACACTCTCACATTTGTTTTGGTTCAACAAGCTTCCACATGGGGGAGACACGCTCCTCCCAAATCCTACGCAACCTTTTCTGGGTTTGAAAAAAAAATTGGAGAAACACATAAATATTTCCTCTTTGGGGAAGTTTAAAAAAAAAAAAATACAGAGAGAGAGAGAGAGACAGAAAAACAAAGAGGACTGACAGACAGAGGAGGGAGTGAGGAGGTATTTCAAAGAGACATGGAGCGATGAAATCATAACTCTTGGCTCTGCAACACTTCAGCTGTGTGTCGGCTCTCTTCCTACCGTGGACTCTTCATCGTCACAGAAGTTACTCTGAGGGCCAAACGAGGACGTAAGGCCGAGGAGAGAGGAGGGAGAATCTGCAGAGGTGAGGAGAAAGCAGTTGTGTTGGAGAGCAGAGGCGAGGAGAGAGCGACCAAAGACGGGGGAGAGAGTGAGGAGCGAGGAGCCCCGTTATTCCAGCAAAGAGCGAAGGGGGAGAGGGAGAAGAAGACGCAGAGAAGAAGAGAGGAGTGATACAGAGTCGGGGAAGGAGGGAGAAGAGTCAGCTGGACATGGGGCTTTGTGCTGTTCTCCTCATCTGTCTCTCCCAGGCTGAGCTGGGGAGAGCGTGGGCTCAGGAGCACGAAGGTAAGCAGCACATACACACAGGTTCTCCCACGTACTCTGATACCAGCTGCCTTTGGATGCATTTCATCTTCAAGTGCCGCAAAGAGAAGCTTGTGAAGGTGAAAAGAAATCTGACCCGGATTCTTCGCCTCTGGAAACATAGTTGAAATGTTTTTGGGCACCTTTTTTTTTTTTTTTTGCTGTGTGTGTGAGTGAAGTTAACAGGTCCCCTGACATCAGCTGCAGGAAGCAGATGAAATGTTGTGTTCACGTCTGGAAATTCTTAGTGTGCCGTTTTTCAAAACCTGTTTTTTTTTCCAGATTTGAAAGAGAAATCGTGTGTCTGGTGATCTGGAATCTGGAAATCCCGGATTTTAGCAAAGAAATGTTTGAGGTTAACCAGTAATTTGGATGCTTTGATTCCAGCAAACTAAATGAGGGCAGCAGCTGAGTCTGGGATTTTAAGTTTAGGATGAGTTTGTGTCTCATCACCCCCGCAATTCTTTTTGTGCATCTCCTGCACACATGCACCGTTACAGTCCACCGTCGTCCCATCTGTGTGTGTGTGCATGCATGTATTTTTATTCTCCTTGGAGATACCTTATTTTTAGCCAGCCCCCGTTCTTCCTCTGCCACTCCTCCTCTGACAATCAGCGGTGCTCCAGTTTCTGTGGCCTCTCCTGTGGTCCCAGTTCCTCTGATCAGGGGCCTCGCTCTGCAGAGGACAACCCGACACACTGCGCACAGACTGGAGACACACACATCCCCGCTAACACAAGCCAACTTGAAGCGCAGCAAAATGTCCGTATGCACATTCACCACGAAAATACACTAAAGTCAATATATATATTAGTCAAACAAGAAATCGATCAGCTCATACTTTCACACACTCATAGATATCAGCTCCCTAAACTCTCCCTGATTCTTTTCATCTAGATCCATGAAGGATTCCCTGAGATATAAGACTCCCACTAATGAAAACAATCACTAGATCCGAACCAAAATTTTACAGGTTCTTTCGTGACGTATGACGCAGCCTGGTATGAAATTTCGAGTTATTCCGTCCAGTCATTTTTGCGTAACCCTTCTAGACAAACAGACAAACAAACTCAGATGAAAACCGAGGGAATAACTGGCAGAAGAATCGATTTTACCAAAATAAAATCCTATCGTGAAAACTAGAAATAATGAAACTATATTACAACCGGACACTGGAACTACATGTCATCTGAACCAAAAATAGAAAATCAGTTCCAAATGTAAACCAAAAAACAATTCTCTGACATAGTTGATCACTTGAATAAAACAATTTACAAACTCTGAATTTGATCCATGTCCATATTTATCTTAACGCTACATTTTTCATTTTCTTTCCGGGATCTTATCGGTCCGGCTGCCAGTGTTTGTGATTGTGTGTTATGGTTACTGCTGTTCCTCTGAGCGGGAAGATGCCAAATCACTTCCTCCCACGCCGTGAGTGTCCGGCTGGTTCAAACACGTTTCTTGAGGATTACAATAAAAACAGTGTATTGATCTGCAGTGACATTACAAAGTGATTAGTGCTCCGCCAGTGCTTCTCTTCCCAGCAGACTGCAGGTGCTTTGCAAATACCTGCTCTGTGTTTCGTCTAACGCGACTTCACAGGGTCGGGACTTGAGATGTAATCACTTGTTCCCAGTCGTGTTTGGATGGGACACAATGCTTCACTCTCTTTATCCGGCTGAAGCACAGATGTTGGACTTTCGCTCTCTTCTCGCTGGGCCTGCTGATGATTCTGCTTTTCTTTCGGAGATCAAGTACACGTGGTGCCCTCCGCATATTCCCGTCCTCGCTTGATCTTCAAAGTGTTGTAACTTTACCCACAAAGAGGAAATTAAGTTTTTACGAACAGCACTTCATCAATCTGAACAGACCGAAAGATGTTCAGCTTTAGTCTCGGTCGAGGAATGTGGCTTCAGATGTTGTCTGATCAACAACTAAAGAGTAAAGGCTTGTTTATGATGCCTTCTCGTACGAAAAGCGCTACGTCCATTTTAAACAATGCGACCCCCGAGTCGAGAGAGTGAGCGTTTCTGACAACATCAACGGGCGATGACGGAGTTCGCCCTGTGCATCATTTAGCTGCCTTTAGTTTCCTGTAATTCTCCTCACAAGGTTTCATCGTTGTTGAATCTTCCTCCTCGAGAACAATGATCGTCTCGCTTGAACTCTTGGCAACCCAGCTCCCCCCCCCACCATTTCAGTTTGTTCCGTGTTGTCCACAATCGTAACCTTTCAGAGAACACAGACTGAGAAAATGATCGCAGTTACTAACAGAAAGAATCTGTCTCTTTATCCACTGTTAAATGAGACAATAACGGAAACGATAAACAGCTTGAATTCTGCTGGTGATACTTAAACAAGGAATGAAGGTCACAGAGAACTGGAAAAAGAAAAAAGAGAGCGAAGGATACGAGGGAGGGGAAATCGGTGCGTGGGAGATGGTGATGGGATGAATGAAGACAATCGGTGTGTCCACAGCACGCTGTACCTGGTTAAGATGCTGTGTCCTAGTTTAATTCGGCTCCAAACACCCACCAGGTGGTTGCTGCAATGCAGAAGCATCTGAGGGGGCACATACAACCAACGCCATGAAGGTGTCACAGTTTATATTTAAGTGTTAAACCTGCAGGATTAGAGGTTTCATCCACACTCAGGTCAACACACCCGGATTAAAGATGAAGGATTAACCAGCAGGAAATCTGCAGACGCACCGAAGCAAATTGACTCCGAACCGGAGGATTCTAAAATTAAACGACAAGTCAGAATCACTTCCATGCATTTTATTCCAACATAGGAGGCGCCACAGTGTGTGTTTACGATTAACCACATCTGTCGGTGTCATTCGTTCTTTTTCAGGCCCCGTTTAAAAGTCACCAGGATGTTTTCCTGCAGGTTTCACGTGTGTCTGCCAGACATGATGCTCCTGACGACAGCTCCACTCCAGTGCTTATGTAAAGCCCCCTCTTGAACTCTCTGTAGCCCCATTGTGTTGGAGGTTCATCCAGGCCCACATGCAAACAGTTAAGAGATGTTCCAGGAAAGAAAACAAGTTCAACGCTCACACAGTTTGACAATCTGAAAGTTTGGAGAGGGGGTTTAATTCACTGGACATCCACACTCCTCAGCTGCTTCCAGAGCACAAATGTTCGAGACAGATTCTTCTGACATTTTACAAAACCTTCCAGTCCCCAGTAAAATGTCCTCATGAGTCCATGTGAGCAAGACAATTCTTGCAGGAAAATGTGCAGCGAGCGTGTGTGACATTTGCTTCTGGTGAAAAAACCCAAAGAATACAAATATCTCGGGATGAAGTACCCGCAGAAGACGCTCACAAACATGTCAAATTGGAAAGATAACAAGATTCGAGAGTTTACGTTGATAAAGGCCAACAATGAGCTGTAAAGAAAAACATGTCTGCCTCCTGCTGTTCCTGTTGTGAACGCGTCTGACCCGGACACTCTCCTGCTGCATTCTTCATATGTGAAAAATGTTCTGGACATCTTCCAGAGCTTGTGTCAGAAAACAGATGTAAAGAACTGATGCATCGTCTCCCATCGGCCTCCTCCTCCTCCTCCTCCTCATCTCTTCCCCTTGATGTTTGACACCTCCTCAGCTGTTTTGTGATGATGGTGATGAAGATGCTGTCAATCTGACCCACTTAAAAGCCTCTTGTTCAGAAGCTGTGCAAATAGCTTCCACTGCAGCGGGATCAAACAAGAGCCCTGATTAAATCCATCTCTCCTGTACGTGCGATAACCTCTCTCGGTTTTCCCGGGTCTATTTTCTCCAACAACAGGAAATTCCCTTCATTCAGTCTGAGCTATAAAATACATTTTGATTACGATGCTGAAATTTAGTGATATTGCAGCATACGGCAAAGGAAATGATCTCACGCACAATCGCTGGCAACAGCACAACTTTCTACATCTTGTTTCTGAGGGGCGGGAAAACGCACTGTTGTCTTAGCTGGTTTCGTCTCCTGGGGACAGAAACTCTCTCATTGTGTGGTTTGTCTAAGTGACAAGATGTCAGTTTACTTTTTGTGCAGAGGGAAACCATCATGTTCAGACGAGTGAGAACTACTCGAAACCAAATTGAGGAAATGAAAGAGAAGAAATTCCTGATTTCTACACTTTGGCCTAATGTTGTAATCACAATTTAAATAATAATGAAAGCCGACTCGTCTTTTTTCCTGACTCCTTCATGATGTTGCTTAACAGTTCAGTGAACTTGGATTTCACATAAACTCCTGACAGCAAACTGGGTTTAATCGTTGGGAACGAGTGAGGAAAAGAAAAATCAATGAGCTCCGTTGATTTAGCAAAAGTTTTCAGAAATCATGGCACCATTAAAATTTACTGAGATTTATTTTCCTGATATTGATTCAAAAACCCTTTTTCATTTATTTTACTTTTGCTGTGGAAAGATCTGCCTGTTAATAATCACAATTAAGAGTATTATTGGTGACCAATCAAGAGAAGGGAGTTTTACTTTTAATCAGATATGTGTAGTCACTACGCTTTATTTTTAATTTATCTGCATATTTAATGATTTGTATTGTATGCGAGTTGCATTGCAATGTTTTTCTCTTGATAGTTCGGATGTGATGCGTTGTGATGCACACGTATAATTGTATGTGTGTGTAATTGTTTTATTTTATTTCAAGTTGGCTGTAAATAAATGGCAAGGGATGAAAATTAGTCTAAATAGCAAACTCTTATTTGTCTGTTCAACCAATGAGCGCTGCCCCAATCAATAAAATAAAGAGATGATCGGTAACGGGGGGAAACACTTGAACCTGCAGAGTTGAAGAGGAATCCCTGCGTGCACTCACTCTCATGCCTGCCTCATTCCAGATGCAGTGAGTTGGACTCCCCTGCGGACAGATGAGGATCCGCCCGGCTTTCACACAACCAGGAAGGACCAGTCGACCGCCCACAAACACAGAGGAGTCCGCGACACACAGGTTGGAAGTCAAGGAGAAGGAACTGCTATCAGCCCCCTGCCTGTCGACGTGACACGTATATTGGTGAGATCCAAACAATCACTTCCTGCTTCTTATGCTACATCCACACATCTATGTTTTCATTTTAAAACATTACCTCTGCTAGCGATACACCTGACTGAGACACTCACGACCGCTTGAGTCTTTTTGGTCATGACGTGCCCCAACTGATTCGTCAGGCTCCCATCACATGACCCCCTTCTAGAAGAGCGCAACATGCATAGTCGACTACAAGTGTTTCTGAGATTTTTAAATGTATAAAATAATCCACAATGTGCTTAGATTTGCGAATGCCTGCAGGAATCTGTGGTTGTAGTCGGATTTGTAAACGTTTAAAAACTGGGTGAAAAACTTGGTCGGAGGTCAATATTATAAGTGTACCCATTACCTCTGTGTGTGTGTGTGTGTGTGTGTTTGATTGAGTGTGTGAGATGATGTTTGACTTGTCTCTCTCTTGAATCAGCCTCAGTAAAATTCAACCCAAATAAATCATGTTGTACCTTTTTTTCCTCTCCCTACAAATTAAATAGAAAACAGACGAAGACCTCCCTCTGCCAACTTACAGTGTTTTCTTAAGCGCAGCCGTGCGTTAGCATGTGCACAGGCGTGTGCTTGTGGATGACTCACTTGGACAAGACCGTGAGCAGCCCTGTGGTGCTGCGGTCACTGACTTTTTTTTTTTTTTAGGGGGGGGGGGGGTCGGTCTGATCCCAGTTTCCGAGATCCTCCATCTCTCCTCCACTGGGAATCTCTTCAATAAATCAGTCAGCTGTGAGGGAAAAGTACGTGATTGTTCCCATCTCCTCACCTAGAAATCCCACCCACCCCCTCCTGGAGAGAACACAGGCTGGAGTCAGGCAGCGGAGACGGGAGAAAAAAAGTGGGTCACTTTGTGTATATGGAGCAGCCAGAGAGAGCGCTGCATTTAACTGCTCCACTTTCTGAGGCTAAACCCCAGAACCATTGCTCTCTGTCACCCTGAACTGTGGCAAACATTAATAATGCCATCAAGACGAGATGCGCGTTCAAAGAGACACCAGTCATCCACAGTGTTATTTATAATGTGTATACAGCTCCCCCAAGTGGAGACGCGTGGGACAAAAGTCCTGATATGTCCCAGTGAAGTGATTTCCTATTTACCTTCAACACAATGTAGTCTCCTCTCATGACCTCTTTTGATTGGTTGTATGTCTTTGACGTCCCAGAATCATGTCATGGCTGAAAAAAGGCACCTTCAAATGTTTGTCGAGAGCTTAGACAATATTTGAAGTTGGACGAAGCGTCTTCACATCCTTCCACTACCCAGAAATGAAGCTGCGGTATTAACCTGTGCCGAAACATGCTCTCGACCAATCACGAATTACTAACATGGAGGAGGCAGAGTTTACGACCTCGATATGTTTGGCTTTACTTTTGAGGTTCATTTCTAGAAAATAATTTCACTTTGAATCTCAAACTGCTTAAACAACGTAATAACAAAATGACGTGAATTGATATTATCAATAAACCAAATCTGTAAACCACGTCACCATGAGACATTTTCTTCTGGAAACTTTTCTTTCCTGACGAGTGGCCTCTTTCTGTCAGCAGGACTCCCACAGGTACTACAGATGGCAGAGTTTTGGTCCAAAAGACAGAAACACTGAGGGCTTGTGGGTAGATATGAACGCCTTGCACACAAGCCAAGTCCGAATCCACGGCATACTGTCCAACGCGCATCGACAGGCAGCGGTGAGAGGAGCACGCACACGCTCAGAACCGTCTGATTGAACTTCCAGCCATGTCTGATACTCTCTCTTTCCCACAGAGGGTGGCGCTTTCTTTTGATTTCCCCTTTTACGGACACAACTTGAGACAAATTTTCGTAGCGACAGGCGGTGAGTCTTACTTTTCGTTACTTGACACCACAGCAGCTCTAATCTGCTCTGCTCTTCCAAACAAGAGACTAAACGTCTACCAATGCACTCAATGAGACTTTGCCCGACCCAGGGGAAATATGCAGGCGAAACAGGCCGCAATTTATCTCATTAAATGTAAATGCCTTCATCTTTATTTTTTGATGATGTGAATTCCTTTAAGAGCTGCTGTGCGTGTCCTACATTTTTAATAGTAAGACGATTGAGATAGTTAGTTAGCTAATTGCTAACCCTGAGAGACTGTGTGTATGAAACTATTTTAAATATGAATGTATTGGCCAAGCATTATCATCATCACCTTTTCAATTGTCATTTGCTGTTGAGCTCACTATGTCGTCCTCTGCATGGACCTCCCTGATATCAGACACAACCATGCTGTGCCTGTGTTTCTGACCCCAGGGTTCATCTTCATGGGGGAGGTAACCCATCGAATGCTCACCGCCACACAGTACGTTGCCCCCCTCATGGCCAACTTTGACCCCGGCTTCTCCACAAACTCCACAGTGAGATACTCGGACAACGGTAAATAAAATGTGAGCTCCGTGGTGAAGTCTGCGGTTTGTGGGAGCTGCTGAATATCTTTGACTGGTTTCTGTGTCTCGCTCTGCTCAGGGAATCTATTTGTGGTGCAGTGGGACAAGGTGCGGCTAAAAGATCGAGAGGCTGAAGGAGCGTTTACTTTCCAGGCTGCCCTCCACAGGAACGGCACCATTGCTTTCAACTACAGAGATGTAAGTTATGGATTTCGGCCGAACCGTTTCCATCATTGTCTGTTCGTTTAAATTCATTTATGGACTTTCCTGTTTTTATACGGGATGAGAACCGATCCCCTGCTGGCACATCAGGTTTATCCAACTGATAAAGCCGTTCTTCTTCAGATCCCTGTACCGGTGGAGCAAATTAATTCCACCGAGCATCCAGTGAAAGTGGGACTGTCTGATGCTTTCATGGCACCCTCCTCAGAGCTCTCAGGTCAGATTTCAGATTTCAAACTTCTTCTTTAAATTAGACTTTTGTTTTTATTATTTCTATTGTGACACATCAGCACTTTTCAGTTTTTTCCAATTGTTCAGAAATGCCACAGGTTATGTTATGTTTTGTTGCCATTGCATCGTTTGTCCACTAGAGAGCACTGCTACATTTATTTCTCAACTGTAAAATAATGCCCAGTACTTATGGAACTCCAGATTTAAAATATTTATCAAGAATATAAAGGTGTCTGTTAAACTCTAAAATCTGTGTCTGATCTATGGGCTTTATTTCATAACAGCTTTATAGAGGAGAAATGATCCCATGAACAGATA